TGCTTTTTTATGCGAATCACAAACTGTAATTGGGTGAAATCATTAAATTATGCTTTATTCGATCTTCATTGGAGTGGCAGGCTGCTTATCACCTAATATTAAAGTTTGACAATTATTAACACTTCAAATCGTTAGATTATTTTTTTATTTGACATGTACCCAAGGACTATAAGGTAGTATTACGTAGTTACTTGTTCAACTCTCTTTCTGGTTAAATACTATTTAAACTATCTAATCTTTACGCCAAACTATGCGTAATTGAACACCCGAATTAATTAATTTTCACCAGTTTTTCTAGAATTATTGATAAATTGTAACCTAAAAAATTCATGTTACCGCTTAATTGGAATAATAATAAACGGTGTTGTGTCCCATAAGAGTTGGCGGATAACAAATAATAAATCATATTAACTCTCCCTTTTTGTTATTACTCTGTTTGTTTATAGTTTTATTTAAGTTTTTTATTTCTTCCCTCATTTTAATATAATATTTAGTAGTAGCATTTACTCGCTCAATTATTTTGTTTAACAATAGCTGGCTAACACATATAACGAGAAATCAAAATAACATACTAGTTGATCACTATGTTCCAATCACTAATCAAAAGCACTTTCAAATACCAAAGCCCCACTTCTTTAAATCAATCAGAGCCCATACACATTCAGTTACAAAAGTGTTGGGATAGAATAAGCACCTGCTACGATATCAACCATATTGAAAATATTGAATTGACAAAAGTTTATCAAAATTTGTGTCTTTTGGCTCAAATTATTCAGTTAAATGGCAAAAAGGAAGGGACAATATCAGAATTTATAAATAACGAAAGGTGTTTGAGTATTCTTATTGGATATGGCAGAAGCGATGTAAATACTTTTTTATTAATTTTTAATTATCCGCAATTACTAACTTTTATGAATTAGACACCAAAAGGAATACTTCTCCACATAGTAGACTTTTTAATAACAACCCTCCCTTATATCCCTAACTTACCCCTAAACGATCCTAACTTATCCCCCGCCTTACACTCAATACTCCTCCTCTTACATAATAGAATAGTAGAATACTTCAAAGATCCCAGTTTATTACTCAATCAAAACCAGCAATTAAACCAACTCCATCAGTATATGACCAAGTATAATAACTTATTACAGAGACATTATACTTTAATGAGTCAATTTAAGGATCAAAATAAATTAATTAGATGGTTGGGATTAGCTGAAAACACAACAGTTAAAGTAAGTTTAAGCTAATTAATCAAGTAATTTAACTAATCACAGATTAAATAGATGCCCATAGTGTATTTACCATTCGAAATTCTAATTAATCAATTACCACCAACGCAGCCTCATGACCCAAGTTTAATACATAATTTTCAAAAATTAGAAAAATTAAATTTAGTAGGATTAAAACAATTAATCTTATTAAACTATGATTCTGAAGTTGAAAAAATAGTTGATAGTATAGTAAGTTGTATTTGATTTTATTTGATTTTGACTAACTTGAATGTTTAGGTTGATAAAACTATTGATAATTACTTGAAGCTGATAACTAATATATCAACTTCTAAGGTTGGTGGTAAATTGGATAGTTTTAAGTTAAAGCACGAAACTAGAAAGCTGGAATTAATGGAAGGGAATTACTTCAAGTGGTTGGAGTACTTGTTTAAATGGTGGCATCAATTGGTTTCTTTAACATATAAGCTTAAAAGATTTGTAATTAAATTCGAATATTTGTTAGATTATTTACTAATTATTAATTTAGGAATTAATGAAGTCAGTAATAAACAAGTTTGAGGCTAATTTCTTAAAATCCGTATTAATACCAAGCTTATTCACTAGGTAATTAATCATAAATGTGCTATAATATTCTATTATATTAACATGATATTTTAGCGAGGAGTTAACATCTCATAGATTGCCCTATTTAATTCATTTAATTCAAACTACTCATCATTCAGAAGTTTATAAAGTTTGGTCAAGGGTTTTATTAGGAAGATTTGAACCAATTAAAGTAATTATTAACTCTCTAATTTAAAATATATTGATGACTAATATCTTTATATAGACGCCTTTCTTACATCATTTAACTTCATTAATAACACCAAATAACCAAACCAACACCCCTAGCAGTTTAAATCTCCACTACTTCAACTTAATCATAACCCTCGTAAATAATGGCCAATTAGGCCACTTCTTCCAAATTCAAATTACTCCCCGCTATGGAATAATAGACAACTCCCCTCTAAATACACCTCCATTACAGCCAATTTGCCAAAGTATACTAGACGGTATAAATCAACTAGAACCAGGAGAAATCCCTAATCACGATGAACACTTTATGAATTTATTGTTAAATTCTAACACTATCGACGACCATAGTCATCATTTAGATTTAATACATTTGAACGAAGAGACGAATTTAGTGGATGAAGATAGCGTTGTACCACTTCCGCTTATTCCTTTGTTACTTACTTGGTTAAATGAGCTGTTTGAATTTCATCCAATGGAAGTGTTATTAATAACTCATATTTACTCAAGTTTGCTAAATTTACTGCCAATAAGTATGTTAGAACAATTACTTGGATATGGTTTGGAGGGCGATTATGGCAAATTTCCACCAAATTTGTTCCCTTGCTATAATACTCTAAAAAATATAAGTAAAAAGGAT